TGATGCATTGTATGTCAGATTGTAAACATCAGTTAATTCAAACTAAGAATACATATATTTTAACAGTCATATGCTCTTAACACAACTGACAACATGATTTATAATTTAAGATCATGCAGTAAAACCAATTGCTAAAACAGTAAGCAGTGTAATGTACATATTTAACCATTCACCTACGAGCCCTCTATTTGATCTTAAATTAATTCCCATCCCTAATAACTGAATGTGAGCTTGATTCTTAATATTATTATAAGTCTCAAACACATATTTACAAAATTCAGTAGCTTCAAACAATTCCAGAAAATTCAATTTCAGCCAAACGAACCACAAAAATCAGTTTCTAGACCTTTTAAGAGAGAGCAGGCTCTAGAAATTAAAGAGCCTGCTCTTTGTTCCTTCAGAGCCGGCTCTAGGCTCCTTAGAGCCGGCTACACAACAACTAAGAGCCGCTCCAACCTTCTAGGAGCCGGCTCTAAGGGGTTTTAAGAGCCTGCTCCCTTTTCCCCTTAGCAGCTTCGTCCGTTTCGTCGTCTTTTCTGATTTCTGTGAGTACCAGTTCTTGTAGTAACTTTTAGTGCATGTTTTGAGGTCTAATTCAATTCCAGATTGATTGTAAAACAATGATATACCATCAAAACTTGAATTGAAAACAAATTACTACACAACGGAGCAAGATTACAGAACTACAGTTTATTTACTATCTTTTTGAAACAACGAAGAACAGGTTCAATTCCATGAATTTAAACATTAATTAAATATGCATAAAGGTTATAATTAAGCCTTAGTTTAAACCCTGGAGTCTTCCTAAACATGCACAGAACACAGATTAAAGAGATAGAGAAGAACAAGACTTGCCTCTGAGAGTTTGAATCAAAAACTCTAACTGTCGTCTCTATAAACTCCGGCAACGTCAACTTCTTGTTATCAACCTCCGCCACTCCTAGTTAAGACCAGAACTCCTCCTTAAATCCCTCCCTTAATCTCCTAAAGTTTCTCTCTATAAACCACACAAGCTCCCTCTCTGTTTCTCTGCCCTCACAACTCTCTGTATGACTCTGTTACGTGACTCTGTTACTGAAGGTGGTGAGTAAGGTTTACAAAAACCCTAGGCAGACGTATACCCATATATTTATAGAGTTATACCAAACCCTAAATTAATTCAAGCCCTAACTAAATCCTAATCGGCCCATAGAACTTAATTAAAACCTGTGTCAGCTAAATAAACTAAACCCTAAATTATAAAACAGTTAATTTACATAAGCACGTAATTAACAAAACTTAAGAAACATAATTAAATAACCAATTAACCCAAAACAGTTTTATTTAAAACAATTAATTTATGAATAACAAATAATCAAGCAAATAATTAATTAAACAAATACTTAAAATAATTTAATTCAAGTAATGCAATTAATCAAGCAAATAATTTTATTTAAACAAACAAAATACAATTTAAACAATAAATTTAGTAAAACACACATAAATAATTAAAATAAAGGCAAGGACTATCTTTTTAAAATTAGGGGAATTACACTTATTGTGAGTGATTTTTCTTGTAAAGTATTGGTGTCTTTATGGCTATGAACTTACATCAAACATATGTGACATATTAGGGTTTCATCACCCTATTGATATCTGTGTGTATTTTTTCAAGTTGTGGTGTTTTACTGGTTTATGGAAAGTGTTTAAGAGTTGAAAAAAATGGAAGAACCAATTCACCTCCTCCCCCTCTTGGTTCATCAATTATGTATTTTTTTTTTTTTTTTTCGGTTGGATAAAAGAGAAGAGAATAAACTCACAATTTATTAGGAAATTATTTAATTTAAAACTTCTATAATGGTCAACTTTTGTTCCCCCCTTCTCTTCCTCCCATTTTTTGATGGATGAAAATTTGTAAAGAATTAAGGATGATACATCCCTCCTATTATCTTTTCTTTTCTTATATTATCTATACCAAACAAAAGAAATTTGTTCCATCCTTCCTATTTTCTTTCCACACCACTTCCTTCCTTCCTACTGAACAAAGCATTAGGGCCGGTTGAAGCCTTAGGCGAGGCCTAAGGCCCCGGCCAATAGGAAGGCCCCAAAATTATTATTTCCTTATTGTATTCAATTTCTTAAATTTTGTATTTCCTTGTATTAGTAAGGCCGTAAATTTATTATTTCAACTTTCTACTACATTTTTATTTTCTTATATTATTAGGTGGCCATCCAATAGGAAGGCCCCTAAAATGATTGTTTCCTTTTTTATTAGCCTTCTTAAAAATTTATTTCCTTGTATTAGTAAGGCCCTTAAAATTATATTTTATCTTTCTAACATTTTTATTTCCTTATATTAGTGTACTCTAACTAATCGTAGCTATTTCTTTGTATTAGTAAGGCCCCTAAAATTATTACTTTCATATTTTATATTTTTATTATTTTATTATTTTTAACAATACTCTATATTATTGGGGCTTCTTTATTTCCATATATTATTAAGACTCTTCCAACCAATAGTAACAATTTAATAGTAGTTCATTATATTATTAGACTCCTCCAACCAATTGTAGCAATTTACCATGGGCGAAAAGAATTTGATTCATTCTAAAATTTTCATTTCACTTTCTATCAAAATTTCTAATACTATCCTTATCTAATATTATTTTCCTCCTCAATATGTTGAAGAGCTTAGGCATATTCGTTGTTTTTCATGCATGTCGCAGCTTAAATTAGCTTCAGTTGTATGATGTTTGAAACAGCCTCGTAGCTGCCTTGCTTGCTTCAACATTCCCGGCATAGAGCTGTGACATCTAATCATATAATTTAGCAGCTTTCTTATAATCTCGGAGCTTAATGTAAAGTGTTGCAAGATGAAATTTTGAATCAAACGATCCATTTAATTGAGCCTCATTGACCACTTCAACAAGGGAATTACTGTCGATTCCCTGAGAGAGAGAAAAAATGCACACAAACGCAACAAAATTAATCTTTCCATGTACATTTCCATTAATTGAAATGGACTTATCATACTGCATTTGAATGAGTTATAGTTTGTGGAATGAATAATGAAAAGATATAGATGTAATTAAATTCATTTGGTTTCACATCTTCATGATAATTTTGTCTCCACAAATTGTGATATAATGAGGTAATAAAAACATACTTTATGACCTCATTAAGCCAGATATGAAATATGATATCCTATCAGCTATTAGTAAGAAATGGGACACAAACTTTGGTCATGAATTAAAATATGTGTCATCACTGTTACCATAACAATAATACTCACTTATAAGCCAGAACACATAAATCTCTAACAGTCATAAAATGTAGTCACAAAGGTCACCCTACAAAAGTTCCAACATTCTGCAACCAGAAAGGATGCTCAGAAGAAAATTTGTAATAGAACCAAAGGGGGGAAAAATTGTAATAGAACCAAAAGGGGAAAAGGTTGGCCTTCACCATATATATATATATATAGAGAGAGAGAGAGACTTAACGAGTAGCCTATCAGAGCAATTTATTCAATGCCAAACATATTGTTTTCTGAATACTAAAAATTTTGGTCATCAATATATTAAGTTTTTTTTTTTAAATATTATTTTCATATGTAAAGAGTATTATAGATTAACACTACCACAAAACATACATTATCCATGTTAGATGAAAATAGCAAATTTTCTAATCAACTATATCTAGAGGAACTTTGTGGTCTCAAATTAATGCACTAGTAATAAAGTTTACAATGTTAATTGCCTTCAAGATAAAATTTTCAATGAACACTAAATGATCCCAAGTGGCTTCTCAAACTTGAACTATCGATTTATTTACTACTGGCATGTTAGATCATTTGAATTTAGTTTCCAACTTACTTTCATATTGAAAGATTTACTAGAATCACAATACATGAATGTTTCAAAGTTAAAGCAAATTTGCAGATACAACATACATTATCTATGTTAGATGAAATTAGCAAATTTTTTAATTAACTACATCTAGAGGAACTTTATGGTCTCAAATTAATGCACTAGTAATAAAGTTTACAATGTTAATCACCTTCAAGATAAAATTTTCAATGAACACTAAATGATCCCAAATGTCATCTCAAACTCAACTTGTAACTATCGATTTATTTACTACTGGCATGTTAGATCATTTGAATTTAGTTTCCAACTTACTTTCATATTGAAAGATTTATTATAATCACCATACATGAATGTTTCGAAGTTAAAGCAAATTTGCAGATACTGATGATTAAGGCAGCAATGGTATTCCGTAGGGATGACAAAATTCAACACTACCCGTCTACACGGCTCAAGAATGAAACAAAGAGGATGAAACAAAAAAGAGAAGCAAATATGATGAAAATCCAAAAGCAATGGATAAAGAAGAAAAATAATATGGCAATGCTAACTTGTGTTTTACTAATAATATAATTAGTTTTGATAACCTAGCTTCTATTGTGAGGAAAGGCATCCTAAATATTATATAAATTAAGTAAATATTGTACTTATTGGCATTTAAATTTGTGATGAATTGAAGAAACCAATTAAGGGACAAAGATACAGGTACATGAACAGATAGATACACAACACATAGAAACACACAAAAATACACAAATAAAAGGAATGGGAAAAGCAAATAAATTAATAAATTCCCAAAAGATAATAAGAACAACGAATTGCAAATGGAATGAGAACCACAATTAGTGATGCTACTATTACAAGAAAATCCAAAACATATATATATATATGTATATATATATATATATATATATATATATAGAAAGAGAGAGAGATAGTGTGTGTGTGCGCGCGCGCGCTATACAAATTGGTAGGGGAATGCAGAGATAAAAGAGGAAATTGGAGTTACAGAGGGAGGTCTACGGTAAGCTTCTAGTGAGTCTCAAAGCCAACGAAATGACACGTGGAAGAAAGTCAGGGGTACTGTGGGAAACTGAAGTATTATGAGGTTGTTTTTGTAAAACTACATGTTGATATAGAGGGTTAAAAGGTTAAAAAAAAATATACCATTTCTTGATTTTTGCTGTTATCCTTGTAGAGGGATCATGCTAATCTTCTCTGTATAGGTCCAATTTTAATGGATGTCCCCAAAGGGTCACTCTTATATTGTGAACTAAACATATATTGGTTGCATATACTTTTAGTTTTTAACCGATATGGGCCGAGTAAGCTCTTTGAAAAACATGTTTTACACAGTCTAGTAGCCTACAAATTCACTCCACAAAAATAGCCTACAAACTATTCAGTATAATGGATGAAAAAAGGCATACCCTCCCTATGCAAGAAACAAACGAAGCCAAATTGAGTGAGACCACTTTCAATTAACATTAAAGCAAATAGCAAACAAGAAAACAATTAAGAATCCAAAATTTAGTTATAGAAATCATCAAATGTAACAACACTTACGTCCATAAGCTTAAATATAGCAGTTCTAGCTACCTCTACAGAAGATCTATTGATTCCCTGGTGTAACCTCAAATTCTGCTCTTTCCACATAGCCCACACAGTAGTGGAGAATAACATAGCAAGGGCACTAGATGACTTAACCCTTCTGAACGCTCCAATCAAGTAATTCTTCAACGGAGTGGCATGTTATATTCCAACCAAAACAAGAGTTGAACCAATTCCAAATGCCTCTAGCTAGCAAAGGCACAGTTAAAGAAAAGATGGTGTCTTAAGTCATCGCTACGCATGCAGTTATGACAAACTGAAGAAAGGCAGAAACCTCTGTCATGACCTGAGTTTTTCAACCCGGTGCGTCAGTGATGATCCGAAAGTTGATCTGATAACGGATCCGAAATGCGAAAGCAAAAGATAAAACCAAAGTCTATAGAGATATAAATCATCCCTAAGACACCAATGTGACCTTCCACGAAGTCATAGAACTCAAGTGAAACGAAAGCGGAAACAAGGGTCAAAACGAGCAAAATCCATTAACCAAGGGGCAAAATGGTCAATTCAAAATTAAGAAGAACTTAACTCTAAAAAAGTCAAACAAGGTGAATACAACCTAATCTAGTCATTTCACAACATTCTAAGAGGTTCCAAGAATATTGGACAAGAATTTCACAAAATGCCCTCCCCCGGTTTAAGCAAAAACTGACACTGTCTCACTAAAACTAGAATAACTCCTACTGTGATTTGAATCCAAGAATGGCATTGGTACCATTGGAAAGATGACTCAAAATTAATGAATTTAGTCTCAAGAATCACCCCATTTGGATTAGAAATGAATGAGATATGACCATTTGAAGTCGAAACAACAGTGCTGAAACAGAACTGAAGAAGCTGGAGTGTGGAAGCTATTTAGGTCGACCGAAATGGCGACCGAAATGGCATTTTGGTAGATCAAAATGACCAAAAAATTTCCTGAAATTCTGAAAGTGAAGAAAAATCACTTAGGTCGACCAAAATGATGAATCGGTCGACCGAAATGGACCTAAAACTTGATTTTGGCTACTGGAATACATGTTTTACTGTGCAAATGAAGTCCGAAAGGGCTTCGGTCGACCAAAATGGCATTTCGGTCGGCCAAAATGACTCGAGAAAGAACTGAAACACTTTCTAAATGCCAAAAATGAAGAAAACTTCTCAAGTCTCAAATGAATCCCCCATGGAATGATCAAACTGAATTATATGCAAGTGTGTGATAATGTGAATATACACGCAAGTGTAATATGGCATTTTAAACATGTTACAATGGCCTATGGCCTTATTACATTTCATTTACGACAATTGACATGTCAAACCTCTAAGTTAGAAAGATTACATTTCGAAGGCAACTCAAACATGCTAACATTTGCATGTGAACAAGGATGGTTTAAAAGAAGCTTCAAATCTACGAATCACCCAAGGCAAGTGCAAATCTCCAATCTTGAATCCTGTACCTGAACAAATCCCCTAGTAACTTTGGGGTGAGTAAATAAGTTTACTCGTAGAGAATGAGCATGCATCAAACCTAGGAGCTCTGATACCACTTGTCGTGACCCGAGTTTTTCAACCCGGTGCGTCAATGATGACCCGAAAGTTGATCTGATAACGGATCCGAAATGCGGAAGCAAAAGATAAAACCAAAGTCTATAGAGAGATAAATCATCCCCAAGACACCAATGTGACCTTCCATGAAGTCACGGAAATCAAATGAAACGAAAGCGGAAACAAAAGTCAAAATGGGCAAAATCCATTAACCAAGGGGCAAAATGGTCAATTCACAATTAATAAGAGGAACTTGACTCTAAATAAGTCAAACAAGGTGAATACAACCTAATCTAGTCATTTCACAACATTCCAAGAAGTTCCAAGAACATTGGACAAGAATCCCACAAAATGCCCTCCCTCGGTTTAAGCAAAAACTGACACTGTCTCACTAAAACTTGAATAACTCCCATTGTGATTTGAATATGAGAATGGCATTGGTACCATTGGAAATCTGACTCAAAATCCATCAATTTAGGCTCAAGAATAACCCCATTTGGAATAGAAATAAAGGAGATATAACTGTTTGAAGTCGGAACAACAGTACCGAAACAGAACTGAAGAAGCTGGAGTGTGGAAGCTATTTAGGTTGACCGAAATGACTAGAAATTTTCCTGAAATCCTGAAAGTGAAGAAAAATCACTTAGGTCGACCGAAATGATGAATTGGTCGACCGAAATGGACCTGAAACTTGATTTTGGCTACTGGAATACATGTTTTACTGTGCAAATGAAGTCCAAAAGGGCTTTGGTCGACTGAAATGGCGAAATGACTCGAGAAAGAACTGAAACACTTGCTAAATGCCAAAAATGAAGAAAACTTCTCAAGTCTCAAATGAATCCCCTATGGCATGATCAAACTGAATTATATGCAACTGTATGATGATGTGAACATACACGCAAGTGTAATATGGCATTTTAAACATATTACGATGGCCCATGGCCTTATTACATTTCATTTACAACACTTGACATGTCAAACCTCTAAGTTAGAAAGATTACATTTCAAAGGCAACTCAAACATGCTAACATTTGCATGTGAACAAGGATGGTTTAAAAGAAGCTTCAAATCTACGAATCACCCAAGGCAAGTGCAAATCTCCAATCTTGAATCCTGTACTTGAACAAATCCCCCAGTAACTTCGGGGTGAGTAAACAAGTTTACTCGTAGAGAATGAGCATGCATCGACTCAATTTCTTTATAGATTTTTATAACAACGTGAAATAATTCAAAATGGTCATGCCACCTAACGTCTATGTCAAATGTGAGACTCATGGAGCATCCTAAGCTACCTTAAATCATTTATAGCATAAAACACATCATTTATACAATTTCAACAACGTAGGTGCATGCTATACAAAACATCAAGACATAGATTCTCAAAGTTACCATCTTGAAATCTAAAATGCAATAACAACTAAATATAATAATTTAGTACAATTAGAATTTCTAGAACCACACATCAAGATATAGATTCTCTAAGTTATCAACTTGAAATCTAAAAGTGTGAAAACAACTAAATATAACAATTTAGTATGAATGTACTTAACAATATCAAATCGCCAATAGTCAAAACCACAAGTCACAATTAAACATGATTGTCAACTTAGAATTGAATGCGAAATCAAATAGTGGAAGACTTGGACATCAAGCTCAGAATTCTGCCGAGACCTCAATGATTATTCTGGGCATTAACCCGCTGGGAGAACCACCCTAGTGCGCACTATAAATAGGGAGAACTCATACCTCCCGCACTAGAGCCAAACTCTAGCCATGTCACATGTAACAACAATGTCCCAGGACTCCAAAATAAACCAAATAAGTTCATAACTTATACATAATTTATATAATGCACGAAATCACCTTCCATGCACAAGTAGGTTGAAACCACTCAATCCATGCCTTAGAGTTTCAATTCTAAAATGGCATATATAATGTCAAATACGAAGTGTGCAATTCATTACACAAGACAACAATATATTTCATAAAGAAAGCATGTTCTCATGAATATAATTATAACAATAATATTATCAAATGCTTAAAATTCAACCAAATGAATACACAACAAGTCCAAGTCTATGATTTGAATATAGAAACAACTTCTAAAACACAATTAAAATCCATGGAACAATGAGATATTATTTAATTAAATCATGATAATTAAATCTCTAATTTCTAAAACAGCTCTAAATGGCCCCAAATTTATATATGCTAATAAACAAATCCTAGTCATCACAATATCAAGTTAAAAACTTAATTAAGCCAATGGAACCACTAAATAGATTTTAATTAATCCTTTTAATTAAAATCTCTAGATTTTCAAACTCATCTAAATGCTCTCAAATTAAAGTATGCTAAAGAACATGCCAAGACTTAATTTAAAAGCATATCACAAATTAATTTCATACAAGGTACGTCCATGGGAATTAAACTTTCACCAAAAAAAATTATTAAATAAAAAGTGCAATTCTTATTCAAATAATCCCAATTTAATATATGTTAACCAACATATCAAAACTTAATTTCCTAGCATGCCACGATTTAATTCTAAGTTGAATACTATCATGAGAATTAAATCTTAACTATAGAAAATAATTAAATTAAAGTCTAGATTCTTAACAAAAGCATGCATACAAGTTGTATAAGCATCAAAAACATGCAATACAACTAAAATATGAAATTATAACACCCCCTACCTCAATTTGAGATGAAATCTCAAATCCCCACAGAAAGAAAAGTGCTCTGAATCCGACGAAACTTCGGGGTTTTGTTGGGGACAACACGATGAACATAACCCTCAAGAAAGCCCCATCAAAAGCACAACTTGACTTCAAACCCGAACTCAAGAAATGGCCAAAAACGAACTCCAATAAGGAGGAAAGATGCGCGTCGTCAAGACAAGCATTAAACATTGAGGCACTACACCTTTTTACTGAAGGGAAGTGGCCGGAAAAGAAGAGAGAAGGGTGGCAGCCGGCCAAGAGAGAGGAGAGAAAGAGAGAGAAAGATCTGATTTTTCTTCTTAAGACCTCTTATTTATAGAAAAACCCTAAAAGTGTCCCGAACGGGCCCCGTCGGATCTGGAAAAGTGAAATTTGAGCAGACGCGCTCAAACGGCAAAA